AGGGACATGGACAGCAATGGACATTGCCTCTGAACGTAGGTTGTGCAGGCATACTGGCGCTGTCATCGAAGGACAGCTTTTTGGTAAGTTTTTTTTTTCAATTTTGTGCATGTTCTGCATTTATGTAAACGCCAAACGCATGTTTGTGACATACGCTTCGTGTGTGTGTGTGTTGTGTACTTGTCACTGACTTTCAACTTTGCGACCAGACCAGCTAGAAAGTTGAAATTTTGTGAATGATGCCCCTGAGCACTGATTGGCCAAGGCTCAAACATTTGCCTTCCGCCTTTACTACAGTTCGAGCTATGTTGCGGTTTGTATTCGTGTTCCAAATGGAGTATGTAGATCTTCGCGCCGTAGACTGATTTATGGATGAAACGTATGCTAGAACCTCTACTGCTGCGCGTGATTCTTTATCATTGTAAGATTGAATCATTAGTTATACTGCTGCAATATGGGCAGCCGCCCTGTTGCAAAAACGCGTTTTTTTTTTTTACTAACTTTTGATATATGTCGTAGTGTTAAGAATGTTACTATAAGACTCAAGCCTCTGGTTCAAGCTTGCTAGTGAGCAAAGCCTTTTTTTACCCTCATGTAAACGGCCAACTCAGGGCCTCGCCCACTTCAAGAAAGCTTGCTAGGAGGCATTATTGACGGGTTTAGGGGGTGGTGTCTCATGTTGGGAAATGCTGTATTTTCTCGAGCATTTTTGCTGTGTTCCTATTTTTTCACGGGGATAATGACGTTTCGGCAACACAGCAGCTTGCAATTCTATTCAGAATACTTTGTTTATTTCAGTATGCGGTGGGGCAGATCTTGATTCGCGAGATAGCACCGAAGTAACGGTTGTTTTACGAAGGCAGGTTGAGCCACTTTCGCTACAGTTAATTTGTTTGGGAGCTTTGCATCCTGACTTGGAAGATGTTCGATTCCTGCCGATGCATTTACAGCTGCGTTGTGCGTGGGCGCACTTCCTCTTGTATGCAGGATATCGAACGCCACACATGACTGTTAAACATTTTAAATCATACAGTTTGCTAAAAATACTGGACATGTCTTCTTGAATCTGTTCTGTTCTCGGAAACAGACTGTACATTTCTTATAAATCGGTAATTAACACGTGTCCTTCTTGCGGTTAAACCTGAGAAAAATTGAACAGTAACTGATCTTCCTTCCATAACATAGTGGTGACACTCTGCGAAAGATAAGTTTGGCATGCGTCAAACGCAAGAACAAAATCAGGTGAATCTTATTCGGCGTTTGCACGTTTTTGCAGTGCCCTTTTTCGTTGCGAAAAGAGGCAATTACAAATTACGAGTAAAAATGCAAATCGGCGAAGCTATTGAAAGGTGGCGGAAAGTCAGCTTAACAGGTCGAAAGAAAAACGATGTAGCGCCATTCGCGATGGCCAATAACGAAAAAGCCCCACTGATAATCGCCTCCAGCGTATAAAACCAGCCAGGCGCACGTGGCCCGAGAGGCTGGATCGCCAAAGCAGTTAGAGTACTGCTTGAAAGAAAAGAATTTAAAAAGAAATAGACCTCATAAGGATTCTCTCTGACGAGCACTTCAAGCACAGGCTGGAGAAGTACGCCTCGATGGAAAGTGGCGGCGGTTAAAAAAACAAAGACTAAACATATGACTGCTGCTACACTATCACACAGTAGTACTCAAAATCCCATGTGGATCTGCCCACGTCACGTACCATCGATCCAGTACTTGTGATCCGCATTTCCAAGTTCGAAATCCGCACAGTGCTTATTAGTAAGATTTGTGGTCTACCAAATGAAGTGGAATGATTGCTGGAAGTGACTCCTTTAATATGCAGCTGTCATCAGTTACGGACAGGATGAAATTCAGGAGCTCTCGCCATTTAGTTGATCACCATTTGTCTGAGAGAATACCCGGATGCAAGAAGGAATTGAAAACGGACTTGCTGTACAGGGAACATTTAAAAGAACTACTGTCATGCCTATGTGTTTCACACAACGTGATCACAAGAATTACCTGGATAAAAGACTGATAGGAATTATGTGCAAGTATTTTTAAATCCGCAAGTATTTTTTATTCCAAATCCTAATATTGTTCGATGCAACAGATTAATATACAAACTCACTCCAATCTGCACATTACACCGATCTTTTCAGCGATCGAGAAGGGAATGAGGCAAGCCGATTTTTTATCGCTCAAGCTTTTCACAGTTTCCCTCAAGACGGTAAAGTGTTCGGAAAATTTCAATGACGGTCAGATAAATCACCTGCGCTTGTAAATATCAATGCTTCTACTGCAGCCAACTCGCGCGAGGTAAATGAAAAATTGTAGGAGCCCAAAACGTGGAAGAAATGGACCTGAATAGTAGCTTACTGAAGATGGAGTTGACGTAGAGTGCTACTGTGCCCGTGATAAAATCGCAGAAAGGGGTACTGTCAGCTTCTAGCACCTCTGATCTCCCCAAAGTAACAACGAGAAAGACCCACTTCTTCATCAGCAAAGTACTGAAAACACCGGAGCGAAAAGTAGTCACTGGCGAAGAGCAGTTACTAAAGCTCCGCTCGGCTTAGTCGGGTCCATATATGATCTGCAAACGATTTTTTTGGGTCAGTTTATCCCACAGCTATGAGTGCACTGCTGCTGCTGCTGCGGATGGTGCGGTCGTGAGACGTGTTCGGAGTTCCGAGCGTGGAGGATTGGAGATATGAGGAGGTTGATAGGGTGGATTGAGTGGTTACGTGACGTGGCCGCGTAGGGGAGTGGGAGGAGAGGTGGATTTTA